AATAGTAATATAGTAGTAGTAATACTGTGTCCGGTCTCAGCTCAGCGTGTATCGGGGGCAGATGCAGGCCGCCTCGGGGTTCCTCCATCAGGCCGTCTTTCTGGCTCATCAGACCCACAACAACCAGGCCATCGTCTACACCTACAGTCTGGTAAACCCTGTGACCTTTGACCTCTGCAGCTGCCTACAGCTGCATGACCTCTGACCTCTTCCTGTGTGTCTCCTCAGATGGCGAATCTGGCCTACATTCAGGGTGAGCTGGACAGCGTGAGTACTGTCCAATCACAGCTCAGCTTGTTAGTTTCACCATATAATCATCCTGTGTGTGTTAATATGGCAACAGATGGCACGATAGGCTTCGTCATCATCATGGTTGTTTCTCCTCTTTATCGCCTCAGGCAGAAAAACTCTTCAAAGCTGCAATGAGCTTCATGCTGTCAGGAGGAACGCCACAGGTAGAGTGTATGTTTATTCTTTACACCAAACTGCCCTGGAAATCAACTGATTTAACACCTACTTATTCTTTACACCAAACTGGCACCTGGAAATCAACTGATTAAACACCTACTTATTCTTTACACCAAACTGCACCTGGAAATCAACTGATTTAACACCTACTTATTCTTTACACCAAACTGCACCTGGAAATCAACTGATTTAACACCTACTTATTCTTTACACCAAACTGCACCTGGAAATCAACTGATTTACACACCTTTTTACACCCTTATTTTTTCCTTTTTCTTTACCCAAACTGCACCTGGGAAAATCAAACTGATTTAACCCATACTTATTCTTTACACCAAACTGACCCAAACTGGAAATCAACTGATTTAACACCTACTCATCCTTTAGTAGTGTGTGTGTCAGCTGTTTCTGACTTCCTGTTTCCAGGATGACAACGCTGTCATCGAGATGTCTCTGAAACTCGCCACCATCTACGCTGAACAGAACAAGTAAGAATAAGATTTACCTGTCTGTTTGACCTTTGACCTCATCTTCCTGTCAGTGGACTGACAGTGTGTGTGTGTGTGTGTGTGTGTGTGTGTGTGTGTGTGCGTTTGAGGGCGGAGCTTGCAGAGCACGGTTTCAGGTTCTGTACGGAGTCTCTGGAGGCCAAACTGGAAAAACAGAAGGAGGTTCCTGCAGAGGAGCAGACAGGTGAGACTTCAGGAGGAGCTGTAGTTTAAGCGTCCAATCAGACAATCAGAAGAGTTGTTACTGAGCGGAGTAGCGTGCAGGTGCTGACTGTTGTTGTCTTCAGAGGAGCAGGAAGCTCTGAGGAAGGAGACCCGCCTCCTCCTCGGCCTGTGTTTGGACTCGCGGGCTCGATACCGAGCGTCAACACTGCACCTGAACCAGGCCGGACAGGACTACCAGAACGCACTGAACATCTGCCGCCAGGAGCAGGGAGACACACACCCACAGGTAGGTCACTGGGAAGATTGGGAACACCGGGAATACTGGGAACACTGGGAATACAGGGAGCAATTCAATTCAATTCAATTCAATTCAATTTTATTTGTATAGCACCAATTCATAACAGAATCCAACAGTACCACTAGGAATACCAGGAATACTGGGAACACCGGGAATACTGGGAACACTGGGATTTGTAAAATGATGTATGATGATGTCGTCGTCTCTGTCAGACTCTGGTGCTGATGAGCGACCTGGCCACCATCTTGGATCTGCAGGGTCGCCATGACGATGCCCTGGCGCTGGTCCAGCAGGCCGTGGATCTGAGCCGCTCTGCCGGACACCCGGACCAACACGTGCTGCTAGGAAACATGGCCGGCATCCTGCTGCACAAAGGTCAGAGATCAGGAGAGGTCAGAAGTTAAAGGTCAGGAGAGTTTAAAGGTCATGGAGTCCTCTGTGTCTGATCTGGTTTCTCATCCGGTCTGATGTGCCCCCTCAGGCCGGCTAGAGGACTCGGTCCGGTTCTACCAGGAGGCCCTGAGTCTGGCTCGGCAGGCCGGAGACCAGGAAACTGTGGACAAGATCCGGGAGGGACTGGAGGAGGTGAAAAAGAGGAGGAAGGAGGAGAAGAAGAAGGAGTGACGGACTGATCTAGAACCCTGCTGACCCCTGAGACCTCCTGCTGTATGCTCCTCCAGAGGACTTAATGTTCTTTATTGTTGTGTGTGATAAATCATTAAATACATTCAATCAATCAGTGTCCTTTAATGCAGACAGGAAGTACTAGTATTGATCGTGTTTGTCCACTAGGGGGGGTTGGCTCTACAGCAGTGTATCTGATCACATCACTGATAATCGGCTCCCTAATCAATATAAACCAATGAACTGATAAATCATTAAAATATGGGACTACAGTGATACAGGGTCTGTGTCAGCCTAATGTTTAGAGTTAATATATCAGTAATTATATTAAACAATATGCTGATGATACTGTGGTTTATCTCTACAATATCTTTAAGCATTCACACAACCATGAAACAATTAGCATCATTAGCATTAATAATCAGCTATATGGAAAATATCTCAGCAGCTGATTGGCTGATTGATACAATATAGGAGGTTTTGGGTTTATTGAAGATGCTGAATCCATTTCTGACATCATCTAAATACAAAATGGACGTTTAAACCAGAAGTGTTCGTATTTCACCTCTTAGTGGGCTGATTGTGATTCATTGTGAGGTTATTGATATGATCAATATATTGTTGTGTGACTGCTAGAGACCCAGACTGTACATTTTACTTTATACTTTATACATTATACTTTACTTTATACATTATACTTTATACATTATACATTATACTTTATACATTGTACTATACAGTACTGTGTAGTAGTGTGTGTGTGTGTGTGTGTGTGTGGTTCCCACAGAGCGTGACGCAGGTGAACTTCCTGTTTGTTTACTGAACATGTCAGAATAAAAGCACAAGTGATGACAGTAAACAAACAGTAGACACCACAAACAGGAAATAAACAAACAGAGGATTAACAACAGAGAGAGAGCCTGGGAACCAGGAGGAGGAGAAGGAGGAGGAGGAGGAAGGAAGAGAAGGAGGAGGAAGAGGGGGAGAGAGAGGAGGAGGAAGAGGAGGAGTGTCAGTGTGTTGATATATTGATCTGTATTGGTCATCAGATCAGATGATCTGAGCACATACAAACTTCAGCTTTCATAAAGTCGATCAATAGGTTTCCATCAGAAGACCAAATCAATCAGTATTGATGATAATCTGTTGTCTTTATTGATCAATATTCTGTTTCCTCCTCATCTTTCCATCAGACACACATCAGCTGAGTGAGCTGACGTTTCTCACGCTGTAAAATCAAGAAGGTCGTGACCACCCGACCCTCTGGTTGGGACCCCTGAACTATATAGTCCTCTAGTAAGAATTTGTAGGGAAGTACTTATTAACAATCTATATATTATAATACTTATAACTATATAACAATTAATCAAAGATTCTCATTTCTTAATGAACTCATCAGCTACTTTATCAAATGTTCACTCCTCCGGCTGCATGTTGAAGTGTCCTTGAGCAAGAAACTGAACCCCCAACTGCTCTGTGTGAATGAGTGAATGTGATGGTACAGTCCATCCATTACACACACACACACACACACACACACACACATATACATTGTTATATATGTTCCCACACACATGTAGTGAGAGATAATTACAGGTAAACACACACATTAAGGTGAAGGTATGATAATTGTTGTTGTGCTAACAGGTTCACACACACACACACACACACACACAGAGGATATGGTATAAAAGCAGCTGCAGTGAGTTTCTGTGTTTCTGTTGGACGACAACTCAACACACTGAACAGGTATCACGCACACACACACACACACACACACACACCTGAGCTGTATCACACTGATCATTTTCCAATCAGTTTGATTGATTGACTGCAGTATCTGTACTTACTATATATTCTGTGTATTTTATGTACAGTAGTTGAAAGTAATTAAGTACTGTAATTCAGTGGCATTCATCAATTAGTCTATTGACAGAAACTCAAGGGTTGACGTGTTAAATCAGTTTGAGCTCTGGACAAAACAAGCATTGTGAAGGTGTCACTTTGAATTCTGGGTAATTGTGACGGCATTTCAAATCAATCAATGGATTAATGGATCAATAATCAGCTGATTAATTCATAATAAAAATAATCATCAGTTGTAGATCCAACACAATAATAATCAATAATATCAGATACAATAATAATAATCAATAATATCAGATACAATAATAATAATAATAATCAATAATACAACAGTTAAATACTTCAACTACAGTTTACATGTTATACACAGACCCTGTACAGTATCACTGCAGTACAGGGTCTGTGTATTACTGTAATGATTATGCTTCTAGCGCCCGGACTGTTGCTCCTATCACTGAAATGGTGATATGTTTAGGGGTAAGAGAGTCTGCTGAGCACATATATATAATGTGTATAACATATAACGTATATAACATATAACATATAACGCATATAACATATAATGTATATAACATATAACATATAGTACATTTGTTAAATCATTGTTTGCTGAGCATCAGTGTGTGAATGTGAATGAATAAGTTAGTTTCTGTTCGATGGACTTTGCCATCACTGTGTGAATGAGTGTGAAAGGGTGAATGTGGCTGTAGTGTAAAAGTACAGTCCATCTACTATCTGTCAACATAATTCAA